TGGGAAAATTTTGGTAGATTAAGTTATGTTTTTAGGCTTGGTTTAAGTGTAAATTAGCTTGAATTGGGTTGTTGTGATTTTGGAGTGAAATCCCGTGAATTAGCTAGTGTTTTGGCCAATTTGTGGAAGTCGGAGTTACTGTTCACGTCGTGAGCACTGTTCGCGGGTACTGTTCATAGGCACTGTTCACACCCCGAGAGTCGACGATTAACGGGGATTTAAATGATTAGTTTGTGATATAATAACGAATTTGGAGATATCTGATCATGTGGAGATTTATGGAAATAGCTTTGTGATTAGGAATGATCCTAATGATGATTTCAATGTGAATTTGTGATAGTGGTATTAATTCTTGGAATATTTTGATTAGGTTCTTGATCATTCTGTCAGTTTAGTACGTGAATTGAGTGCTCGGTTTTGCGGAGTGAGGTAAGTAAAATTATGGTAACGCCCTTCGACTTTTCAAGCATGTTTTGATTTGTTTTTGAAATGGTGGCGGGACTAAACCCGTTTTACACGAGCATGACAGATTTGAAGTGAAATGTTTTATGCTTTTCATTAAATTGAGCATGCCTACTTGAAATTTAAGTGACTGTCCTGATGGTCTGAAAGTGATTGTGAATTGTGATTTTCTTGTTAACTTCTGCTTGTTTTGTCTCCGATATGGTCATGTTATTCGTGTGCCCGCTAGTGGGAGGTTTATAAACGCTAGCACATGTCGACATGTTATTGATAGAACCGGTTCGCTCGTGGCCTTACTAGTGGGGATTATACACTAGCACTCGTGGCCCTACTAGTGGGGATTATACACTAGTACTCGTGTGCCCGCCAGTGGGAGGTTTATAAACGCTGGCCATAACCTATAAAGGAGACGTCTATTTCGTACCCGTACTGTATCCGTTTTTCGTGATTGCACTTGATGGCATGCTATAAGTTTAATTAAGGGCAATCCATATTTTACTTACTGAGTTATCTCACCTCGTTTTTTCTCGTCCACCATTTCAGGTAGTGTGCCCCGAGACTCGAAAATCAAGGGGAGTGACGTGATAAAAGGCTAGCCACTTGAGATTTGACATAGATTTTAGATACATGTACACCACGCTCTTGTAAGTTAGATTTTAATTGGAAATTTTATGGTATCAAAACTGATTTTGTTCAGTAAGTTTTGAGCCTTGTGCATTTGTGGGACCCGTCTCATGAGTGCACGGCGTCTGTCGCACCTCGGATTCGAGTTCTGGGGCGTGACAATCATTCATGCTATCACTTCATATTTTAGCAGTGAAATAGCAGCATTCGTAGCAAAATGAGTTACCATGTGCAAGATTGAAGGAAAAGTGGCTGCAAGATTGAACAAGTTAGAGACTTTAGTTAGTTGATTCTCTGACATTCAAGACTTCAATTATATTTTCAAGTCTAAACATTTTCAAAGTCTTACAACCTACAGGGTACGTATTGGTGGGATCAGAAGAAGACGAGGTTATATTTCTGAACTTTGCAAGACATGATTCTGGAGCTAAACATTTAATTTTACTAAGTTTTGTTAGAGAAAGTAAGGGAGTTGACTTCTTGTACTATTTATGATTGTCAAGACATGGAGTGCTTGTTTCACTTGAACTCATCCTAATCATCGTTCTATCTAGTGCTGAATAAGCTTAAAATTCTCCACCTATGTTCCATGCCAAGCTTGCAACTTGTGAGCGTGGAAGAAGTAGCAACTCCACAGCAAGTCTTTTCCAATCTTTATATCCAATCTTTATATAACGGAATGTTCAAGAATGAGGAAGTTGCTTCCACTTGAGCTACTGCAGGCCCTCCAAAACTTAGAGAAGATTGAAGTTTCTAATTGCCTATGCCTCTTGGGCTAACACTGCCATATGTTGATGTGGTAGGGCTTTCAGTGGGTGATAACTATTATAACCCAAGTACCTCCTCTCTCCAAAGGTTGGCATGACATATGGGTGATCTAGTAGTTACAAATGCGAAAAAGAGATCAATAAGGTGATCTTACTACATTAGTACCTCCATTAATGCCCCCATTTAATCACAAAATGAAATCGAGAAGGTAACAAACGGCGTTTGTCTTCTGTTCGTTATGTGCAGGCTGATGCTGAACGGTGACGGTTTTATGTCCGTTTCAGTCAAAACGGTGCAGTTTTGGCAATAAGTATTAGTGTATTACTGTCACTTTTCTGACGTCGACACAGAGACTGACAATTCCTATGCCTTTATATTTAACTATCTTTTTTCTTCCGGATTCACCCTTTGAGCTTTGGATCCGCCAAGATCAATCAATCCGTCATGCTATCCTTACATCAGTTTCAGAACCAATTGCTCCCTACATATCTGCTGCTAAAACTTCACAACAAGCTTGGAAAACCCTAGCCAATCTCTATGCCAATCACTCAAGATCCAGAGTCTTTACACTCAAGGAGAGGCTTCAAAACACTTGCTATGAAAACCGCACTGTCTCTGAATTGCTTCATCAACTCAAGGTGCTTGCCGATGAACTTGCTGTAATTGACAAACCTCTTACCAATGATGACCTGACGGTGTATGCACTCAATGGGATAGGCCTTGAATTTCATGAGATCTCTGCTTCAATACGTGCTCGAGATGAGCCACTTTCCTTTGAAGAACTTCATGACAGACTAGTTGCCCATGAAGAAAGCATGCACAGGGAAGAAACTTGAATTGAATATACACCAGTGACTACCCATCTTGCTGCTATGCCCCCAAGGAGACTTGCTGATAATAATCCTACTTTTTCTACAAATTCTAGTCTTTCAAATGCTTCCTTTTAGTCCAATGGTGCAAGAATTCTACCATTGCCACAAAATATACAACCTTTTGGATCAAGCCAACAAATGGCAAGAGGAAAAGGAAATGGCCGCCAAAGACGAAATCAACTCAACAAAAAAAGAGGAAGCCCAAATCAGCCCAACACCAGTAGGCCCAATATATCCTGTCAACTTTGCAACCATTTTGGGCATACTGCTCAGGCATGCTCATTGTTTCGAAATCAAGGCCAAGGACCCACAGCCCACTATGCAACATCTACCGGTCCAAACACTAATGAATGAGTGATTGATTCAGGTGCCAATAATCATATTACAACTAATATATCGAACCTGGCATTGCATTAAGAATATAACAGCCCTGATGAACTAATTATTGGAGATGGCTCAGGTTTGAAAATCACTCATGTTGGTCACACTACCCTTACAACACCCACCTTATCTCTTCCTTTACATAATGTTTTATTTGTATCCACAGCATCTCGTAATCTTATTTCTGTCTCTCAATTATGCAAAACCACAAATTCTATTGTTGAATTTCATCTTAATTTTTTCTTCGTGAAGGACCGCAGCACGAGGGCGATACTACTACGAGGACCAAACCAACATGGGATGTACCAAGTTCCTCTAACAGGCCCATCTAAACAAATGCCCATGGCATATCTTGGGGAAAAGACATTCGGCAATAAATTGGCATGCAAGGCTAGGACATCCATCATCTAAAATATTCAAAAAAATTCTCAGTGTTATCAATTTGCCATTAATAAATAAATGCGATGGTTTTTACTGTGATTCTTGTTCCTGTTCTAAAAACCACAAACTACCATTCTCCAAATCCTCTTTCACTAGCCATTGTTGTACCTATGATTTTGATGAGTACAAAACACATTTGAGTGATTAATTGGGTTATTTAAGTGTGTAGTTAAGTTGTTAAAAAATTGCAAGTAAACTTGGATTGCACTAAAAATAGACCAAGAGGATTCAAAATTGCAGAGAGCCGGCTCTTAAAAGCTGCAGCCGGCTCTAGTGAAATGGAAGTGCAGAGAGCCGGCTCTGAAAGATGAAGCCGGCTCTACAGGCAAAAATTTGAAGACCGTTGTTTGGCGCACGCGGAGAAAGGACGCAAAGTCGGCTCCAACTTTGCAGCCGGCTGTGAGGGTGCATTTAATGCACAACGGTCGACTCTTTTGAAGAGTATTTAATGTATTTAAAGTCGAAGTTCCAAAGCCGGCTCAAAGTTTTGCAGCCGGCTCTCAAGGAAAACAGAATGTGTAAGAATCCCGCAAAGCCGGCTTTGGAAGTTTAAGCCGGCTCTCCTGACAATTCTGCAACTCGACTTTTGCATCCTACAAAGCATTTAATGACCCCCAACAGCTAGTAACGGCTATTTTCGACCATGGGGCTATAAATATGGTTGATAACAGATCTGAAGAAGTTTAGAGAGTATTGTATTGAATATCTTTACCTACCTACATGAGCTTTGACTTGAGATTTGATCTTTGAGAGATCTTTATTTGTAATCCTCTTCTTGTGCTATTAGTGAGTGATCTTGGGGGTGTGTTGATTCCTTCAAGAGTGATCTATTGAGAGGATTTGTGGGATTTACATTGTAAAGGGGTGAGGTTTGAGA